CTAGTAATCACGCGATTTCGTCAAGTCTGGGATAGTGAAGTTTTCAAAGAACTTCTGGGAAACATCGATTTTACTTTCATATCTAAAAAGGGCGATAAAACTATCCGCCTGAAGTACAGGTACATCAACCTCATTGATATGGTGCCCAAGGTTTTCACAACCATTTTTGCTCAACCGCTTTAACACTGATTTTAACACAAAAACACGTCCGAGCCAGTGTAGTGTTCACCGAGGGAAGGGTTGTACCGGGAAGATCGTCACTCTACTGCGAATCCTAGCACATAAGTACAAACTCCGACAGCCAACAGCTTGCATCATTGATTTTTGAATGGTGTTTGACTCTGTCAGTAAACAGTCACTTTGGAGCGTACCGATGGAATGCCTGAGAAGTACATACAGCTAATGAGCTCATATTATTGTGTAACGCAATTACGCGTTCGAGCCTGGGGAAAGATTAGACGGAATTTTCGCTTGTCTCGGTTCTCTGTCAGGACAGTCTCCTATCAACAGTCCTATTAAACGACGACATAGAGTCAGGAATGCGTTGTGCTCTTACCCATTTTCAGGAAATTCAAATCGTTCAAGAAACCTAATAACTGCCCTTAAATTTACAGACCATTGTCATTTTGTGAGACAAACTTGACAATTTACACGTAATACTTGACCGCGTTGAATGTGAAGCTGAGGTTGTCGGTATGGAGAAGGACGCCTCAAAATTGAATTTCTTTACTAAGTCCCCAGATCCACCTCAGTCCATCCACGTCAAAGATGAAACATTGGAACAGATACAAGAAATCAATTACTCGGGCTCTACCATACAACCAAACTGTCAAGGCAGAGACGGAGTCAAGCTTGTCGATTGTGCACCAGGAGGGCATTCAGCCAACTTTACAAGCCACCGTGGCTAAGCAGTGAAATATGCTTCCACACGAAGCTGCAAGTTTATCGAGGCGTCGTTCGGACCGTCTTCACGGTTGTGCTAGTGGCCACCAGCTCGATCGGGCATCTGGGTGTATTGGGCAATTTGGAAGTTTGACCCTGTCCAAAGGGCGTATGATCTGATGAAGTGGACACCGGTCCCCAATGGAATGCGGTTTTCACACACCACCCCGGTTGTGAGCTCCCTAAGATACTTCACCTGTCTTGTCTTGAGTAACCTGGTAGTATTCAGCTCACATGCAAATCATGGAACGTCTTCCTTTTTCAGAAAGATTATTGTACTATGATTTATTTGGTAAACAGTCTGGCCTCAGACGTGCGTCATATGTATCAAGTGGTTTGATCACTTTGTCGTGTGCAGTGGTTGGCTCCTATCCTCCTGCGGTCAGAAGCTGAACTCACAATTGAAATTCAATCGCCGTCACCTTTTTCGCATTGCAACTGTCCCCCTGGGAGGTCAACTGAAGAAATGGGTAGTATAATCAAATCGGTTACGGATACCCCTGGTCTCCAGTTGATCTTTGGAGTACGTGACTGGCACCACAGCTGGATTTCCCGGTGAGCAGATCACAGCGTATGGGTAGGTACAGTTATCCAAGATATCCAAGAATCCGACTTATCCTCGAACAGGAGATGGTCGTATTAAAAAAAATAACTAAAATAAAACCTGGAATTTGGGTTTTGATGCACTCTGAGTATTCTGATGACTAACTGAGAACATAACACATGCTTTGATAACAGTCAAGTTGCCGCAACACAGCAAAATTCAGTAGTAGAACTAGTAGCCCTCTTGGAGTATGTGACATTCGATTTAAGACGCGTCTAAGAACAGTGCAGTACTGCACCGCAGTAATGCATTCACGAGTCTTGTCAATTAACCGCTCCCTCTCAGACATAATTCCCGAGTTCGGCCACGGCTGGATCGAAAACCAGTAAACTGGAACCCTACACGTCAAGAGCGAGGGCCCGCAGAAATGAAAATGAATCCATTGAATATGCAATGGTAACAGCACACTGGCGAATTGGGTTTTAGATAGATCTGGAAAATTACTCTCTTTTCCCGTATATTGTTCCCATCGGATTTACATAATAAACTATTCCCTGACTCGATTGGCTCTGTTTTATGAATCTCGCTTGATCAAATAAAGCATGACTGTCAGATCGTGAGAGAATGCATGATCGACTGTCTACGATTGTGAGTAAAATATCAACAACCCTAGAGTTACGCACTCTACAGAGGGCTGTTTATGCTCTAGGTTGTTGTGTGGTAAACAGTAGACAGGGTTCACCTTGTGATTATAAGGACCTGTTGGTCAGTCATAGAAACCGGGAATCGAAACCCCGAGTGAGGCCCTACTAGGTCAGGTGTGATGTCAACTCAAACAATAGCAAATTTACCCACCACAATAGTTAGTATGGCGATGGTAATTTAACCTAATAGTTCATTTCACTACCATCCTCTCTCACTCTTACCTGTGTAATTGGCTTGTGTATTTGAAAGGCAAGTGAAATTCAAGCACGAACGTGGCCTACACCTTTGCATAACGCATACCGTACATTGAAATCTACGAGGCGACAACAACCGATCTGATCATTTGTCATCTAACCTTCCATCTAATCAACTGAGAACAGTATTTGAATGATGTTGTCTGGCCAGATACCATCGTGTTTGCTTCACCAATGAAGCAAGTTTGCTACTTAGCCTTTTGATACAGTCAATGCCTTGATAAGGTCTAGTATACGTTCATAGGAAGAACGTTTATTAATTCATGAAATTGTCCAATAGAACAGTAAAAATGATAGAAAATTCTCCTTCATGGTGACTGAAAAACTCAGGTACAAAGTAAACAATCTTGCTCAAGGCCTATCTTCCAAACCGATAATGCCTGATAACAGACAAAATACGAACAAGGTGCGCACATGCACAGACCGTTCCTGCAAATAAATGCTGGTACCCTCTGGCCGTGATTTGGATTTAGATCAAATGCAAGGGTTCGACAGAGATTTGGCAAACCTGATGTGCAACCATTGTCTGAAGGGAGCAATCATTCAGTAGCAGACATAAAACAGCTTACATACCAGTAAATCAAAGAAGACAGAAATCCCTACACCGTAGCATGTGAGAAAAATGCTTCAGAAAAGTGAATAGAAGAGTAAAATTCCTCAGTTTTAAAGTGCGGAGATAAGGTGGGAAACAATTATTCAATCACAAGTTTATACTTAACATTTTAGTGGTTCAGTATTTCTATATCTATCACAAGGAGTACCGTATGTAAACCCTTTCAAAGCATATTTTCAACAAGAGAAAATCAGGGGAAAATAACGTGGTTATCAGGCGTGCCGCGATCAGGGGAACCAGACTGAATGATGCGTTTGATGTACCTAGTGTAAAAGTGGGGGAGAGATAGAGAGCACAGATCGGGAGAAAATGTTCTTCAGGACATCGAAGAAAGGAAATCGAGAAAATGTATCACATCAACCTAAATTGTAAATACACGACAGTGCCACCAAAAAAATCTCCAAAATTATTAATATAAAAGGCGAAATTTCAATCATTGTAAGAATCAACTATATTCCTAACGGAGAAAATTTCAGAAGAGTATGCAACACATAGGAAAGAGAAGAGTACTAAAAATGTGTTTGAGTCCACCAAACGCTTTGATGAATACACAAAACGTCAATTCAACGGTGCCAGCGCACTTATCCAATGTGACGGCTGTTTGCTTTCACCAAGGTATACACCTCTCCAGGCTGCTCAAGAATGGCCGAAAGAGAGAGAGAGTAATCTAACAAAGGGGTCCGAAATCGATCAGACTCTATGGGGTTTTGTTCACTAACCGCTGACAGTCGCGTTCGACGGTGAAAAGGAAATCGCTGATTACATGGTGGTGGTTAACTTATACTTTCTGTTGAAGAAAGTGGAATTCGTTGCCGATTGCAAGTACACCATCGGGTGTGCATGATATGTCGCCACATACAGGCGGTGAAACATAATGAGCAGCCAGATGAGTCGGGGGCCAACCGTCGTTCAAGCCCATTTCATATACCATATGCGTTGATCAAGCCCGGATGGTTGAAATGTTCCAAGGTTAAAATATTAAACTCTGATTGGTCGATTAGGTTGGGTGTGAACAACTATGTACAACCTGGGGAACCAATCGGCATTTCGGTCACATCAGAGGGACGAATGATGGTGAGAAAAGTCAGACGAGGTTGGGGTGGAGGAAATTGTTGTTCCGCCGTTGCTGGCTTCTACCACCCCTCCCCCCCCCACTGCCGCCGCGTTGACTCGGCCTCTNCCTCTGGCTCATGGCTGCTAAGTCACACCGTCACCATCGCTGCTGCCCCCACCACTGTGATCTAACATCTTCATTGTACACATGGCTCTGCATGACCCCTTTGAATGCATTGGTGTTGTAGTGACAGAAGGAAGATTGAGACATCAACGAATGCGCAGAGAAAGTTGTTTTTTTGGCGACGAACTGCCATTTATCGACATTTTTCATGATTCTCGTCCAATAGCGCTCTTACCAGTCGACACTGATAAAGAGGGCGAGGAGGAATTCCGCAAGGAATGAACAGTCAAAATGAGCATGCAAGCACGCACTTACTTCGTACTCATTCTTGCACGTGAGCGACTGCGAAGTACCCACACACACACAGTGTGTGTGTGTGTATGTGTGCAGGAGAACGCCCAGCTTACCCTAGTCTACGTGAATGCCGGTTTCACGTGTGTGTGCGCGCGCTTGTGTGTATGCCTGACTTAGAATAGGTTGATAAATGATCATGTTTTAAGCATAGGAACGGATGGTATCCATGATTGCAGAGACTTCACAGGCAAGTGCGTGTGCGCGCACACACACATGGACACGCTCGCACCCATACACACATTGGTGTGTGCGTTGCACACAGGCGCACGCGCGCAAACATGCTCGGTCCATTCAAAATAAATAAAACAATATTCACAGTAGGTCGGTCAGTTAGAAACTGTGAGTCGTATTCATATGTCGTAAAAGCACTAGTGTGGGAGTGAATTCGATTCCCATTGAAGCTGCTCAATCATGCAGTCTGCACAGTGTAAAACAAAAGGTGAACAGCTTGATTTGCCGTGCACCACTGGCGCTACTCTCTCATCTATTCTGGCCGACCGCGAGCATGCTGCACTTCAGCAACTTAACCAGAACTCTACGAAATTTAATCAAACGGGAACATTGAAATTTGGCATTCAAACAATATTGAACGAATCCTGTTCGGCAATGACTCAACCGCCCACAATCCCGGTCCTAGATAGACTGGCACCGCCAGCATCACCTCATCCACCACCATCACAAATATCATCACTACAACCGTTGACGTTACGACCACTACCACCATCCGCACCACCACCGCCCGAGTCCACTTTGTCCTCTTCCTTACCCGGATCTTCCGGACTTTCCTACTGGGATACAGACAGTCCGGCTGATGATCCGGACACTCCTTGCGATTTGTCCTTGTCGGGGAACGGGCTCAATCAACAGGTCAACACCTTTGTTGAATCGCCAACTTGGCCGGATTCCACATCCTCGTGTGAATCAGCTAGACCGACGTTGTCATCACGATTTTTGGCATTTCGTTCTTCGGTGAATGGATTGAGCAATTTATTGGTGGACGCGGATCGAGAGCCAGATGATGAAGAAGATGCATCATCGTGGGATTCTGGCCGGCCGACCACATCCTCTTCAGTCCCAACTTCTTCACAGTTTGTGGGCACACAAATGCAACCGCCTGCTCCACCTGGTCCGTCACCTGCCGTATCCCGAAGTATCACCTCTCGAATGGAACAGGACTTGTTGCGTGCATTGGACGTGCTTACCGCATCATCGACAGCGTCGTCAACTTCTCCCTCTTCGTGTCCTTCCTCCACGCAACCCACTAATGGAGCGGCTGCCGCAGCAGCTGCAGCGGCGGCAGCCGTGGTGGCCGCGGCGGCCTTGGTCCGGACAGATACGGGGCATCAAACGACAGCACAGTCGACACGGATTCCCTGGAGTTCTGTGATTCGCGATGTGAGTTGTTTGTTCGTTTACCTAATCTTGAATCCTATTTTGACCGCTTTCGTTCAGTTTCATCCAGGGATTATCAATTTCAGTCGGTAGAGCCAGGGCATTTACCGGAATCGTGTATGCGTTTGTATAACCTTGTGCAAAAAAACCCACAAAACCTGAGCCGGATGTTTATCTCCTTAAACGGTGCTTAAATTCTCTATTTCCCGTTAAAACGGTCGGACAGATACCCTATGCATATTCACTCTGCTTACATAAAAGTGCCAGTGTGTGCGTGTCGTTCTGGGCCAAGTGCAACTACCTGCGTTTGCTGACCGGTAACTCGTTTCTCACGCGCGAGCTATGTTACTCATGCCATCTAACAGTGAGTGTATGGCCACATGAGTTAGTCATGAAGTAACAACAAAAATCTACTCGAAATAGTAGCTATTGCGTATGACACGGAAAACCGGTATAGATAGTTGTCGTTTTTGTTGTTTGAAAGTCTACTAACTAAACATTAATGAGTTAATCAGTAATTCTGGAGAACAAGCCGCCACCAATACACTCTGGAGAACACAGAGCACTGCAAGTCAACGGAGCGGTACACAGCAGGTCACGAATGAGTGAAGAGCAAGATAGATCATGGCAGACATCATAGGCGGTCAGAGCTTCACTGAGTAGGTGGTCGTGGACAATCGGCCGCAGTCTGAGGACGTGACGAGTTTTCCTCCTCAGTGAGCTCTCTCTCTCTCTCGCCAATAAAAACAAGAACTGTTCACAGAAACCTATCGTGATACGTGCCCCTGTGGCCTTATAATAAATTAAGTTACTGACACCGCCCTGGTGATCTGTAGGACACAGTTGGTAGTTGGAAAGAGAGAGGTGCGGTCCTTAACAAAAATAAAAATAGCAGACACTTAATTATTGAACCGTAAGTACGTTGGCTGAACCAGTGAACGTTAAGAGTGAACTATAGTTATGTGAATCATTGACCTGTTCACGAACAACAACTTGGGTCAAATTGTTTGAAAAGCGAATTGAGAAAAGAAGCCTACGACCACATTCAGGACCGGGTTCATTGGGCGAAAAAGCTCTTTCCTGAGCATCCATCAAGTAACCAGAAAACCTAGATAGAGGTATCTTGTGGTGTTCCATCTGACGATGTTCACGAATTTGACACTCATTGTGTCGTTGACGCATCCTCACCCCAGGACTGTCTCGCGCACTTTATGCGCACGGTCACCACAACGCTACACCACGAACAGGCTGTTTCTAAATACGACAGAGGAGAGAGAGAGAGAATCCAGGGCGTGGATGGAATTGGCCTCGACCGTGTGCAGAATGACACATACGAGCTCTATATGCATGTATTTGTGCAAAATTATCATTCTAACCCAAATGTATGCTAATATCATATGAGTTACCTCCTATTTTCTCAACTCCTCATCGAAGGTCTGTCTAACTTGCATTTGAGTTGGGTCCGAAAAAACAGGCTGTTAAGTTGAAGCCGATGACGATAATGAGGATGAGATGGCGGGGATTTTCAAAGATCCGGTCGACAGTTATAACATTTTTCAAAATACTGACTAATCTGATCCCTAAGCCTATCAAATACATTTAGGACTAAATACCAGTGAATGCCGGATACACTAATAGTTTTGGAGGAAGCAAAGTTTGAAGTATTAGAATCAGGGAACATTCTCGTATGTTGTTCTGCCTGCGGTTTACGGGGTTCATTATAGTTTCATATAACTATTTAGATTAAGATAAATACTGGTTTGCAACGGACAATATTGATCAATCGGTGGCAAAATACATAAGGCCATGTCAAGCGTGTCTATTCCACAAATTCTCTCTAAAAAATCTTTCTTTTGGTCGCCTCGATTTTACCGATTCCAATCACCTGTTACTGTGTTTTAGACTGAGCTACTGATGTAATTAATTTGACCAAACCTTTGACACAGAGCAGTTCCTGAGCACTGCGGTAGGTGCTCTAGTCCGAAGTTGAGCGATGCAGTCATTGCAATCGATCGAGTTATTACGACATGATGGGTGCTTTATTCCGAACCGAAGGTTTTTCGTGCAAGGAGACACAACCTAAATGGCACAAAAATGAAATCAAAATGCCGTATTTCTTTTGAACCAGTCTAATAGTATTTTCTAAAACAAAACGGAGAAAACACAAAAGTCGATCGACGTGGGATCCCCGCAGTACAGTTCTCAGAGGGAACAAAACATTTTGCTGTCAGATCAAGACCGAAAGAAATCATGTCTTGAGATGTTAACATTTCATTTATTCTTCTCAATCGTTGACGTAAAACAAACAAGCAAATTTATAGCACATTTGACTGGTAATTCCTAGTGAACGGACAGGTGCAGACAGACAGGAGCTATTGGAATTAAAAATAAGAGTTCAACTCCACGGCAAGCAAACTGATTGCATCAACAACTTTTGCGAGCACAAAACGGGATGATATAACCTGATTAGCGTTGTCTCACTTATTGCCAACGGTTTTGCACTGCATTTACGCAACACGGGTTTGAAACAGAGACACTATAAATGAGAGGCTTGCCTAAAGTTTATAAACCCGGTACTCCTTTCAAGCCAATTTTTTGTATGCAGAAACTGCCATATCAGAAACTCAATCGGTGGTTGGTGGAAATTCTAAATCCCATTGGCAAGTCTTTACCACCCCGTTATTTAAAAGATTCTTTTGAACTCTCAAATGCTTAGAGAATAGGATAATATCCTTGCAGAGGACGTATTCGATAGACGTAGATTTCTTTCTCACCAATGTTCCCGTTCATGAAACAGTTGACTTTATGTGATTACATTTATTCAGGTCATTTTTCACTTGTTATCCCTCTGGGATACTTAAGAAAACTAATATTTTGTTATGTATCGAAACATTCCTTTTGACTTCGGAGTCGCACACAAACAGATGTATGGCGCAAACATGAGCAGTCCGTTAGGCTCAATTCTAGCTGATGTATTTTTAGAAATGATTGAACAAAATCTTGCCAATAGTATCTCAGTCCACCTTGTATATGCGTTATGTCAACGATATTTTTGTTTGTGCGGAGTTTAAACATTTAAATCCCTTTTGAAACAGTTCATCTTGGTCCATCCACATCTTTCTGTATCAAATGAAGAAGAGATCAACGATTCCTTCGCATTTTTGGATATGAGAATCACGAGTCGTTTGGATGACACATTGAAACGTTTTATTTACTGAAAAACAACCCTAGCTGGTCAGTATCTACAATTCTCTAGCTTCTCACCAGTGGCTTACAAAGGTGCACTTGTAAAAGCTCTGTTCCATCGAGCCAGAAACATTTGGTCCCCAGACACACTAAGAGAAGAAGATAAATTTCTAAAGAAAACGTTGCTACCAAACGATTATCCCGAAATTTAGACTGATCTCCACAGTAAACAACCTAAAAAAGGTAACCCATCTCCAAATGTTCCCCAGAAAGCAATCTAAATCAAACTATCTTTTAGTGGTGATCATCTGAACGATGTGCATCAAAGGGTAATCAGCCGTGAACCCCATATTCCCAGCTGCTCAAGCACGAATTATTGACCCTACTGGTAGAATGGATTTGGACATTCGTCTACATGGGTGATAATCCAGTTCTGCTTCTCACGCTGTGCATACCAGTTCGCTTGCAGTTGCGTTGACGCAAACATAGGCGGAACTAAACGTCAGTCATCGAAACGAATGACCGAACACATTACAAAGTTTCAATTACTCGAAGTTAGAACAAAATTTCAGGCGAACGATTGTTGTCAAGACCTCATAATCGTGCCGCTACATTTTGCATGAGAAGATAAAACCTAGGACTTGGAAGGATAACGGTAAACTGTGGGGAATCGATCACACTGTGTGCATGTGCCGCACACCACATTCACAGATCTGTGCTTCCAGGGTTTTCAGTTATGCCTCCTTAGTCCCATGACTCAGTTCTGAGGGATCGGTCCTCAATTGCAAAATGCATTAGGACAAACAAACACAACGGATCCCGCTTCCTCATTCAAACCTTTGTTTCGTAACTGCATTGCAACACCGTTGGTAATAAGTTAGGCGTTGCTAATCAGCTTAAATCATCCCGATTTGTGCACTCAAAAGGTGTTAATGCAATCAGTCCGCCTCTCGTTATTAATTCTAACAGCAACTGTCTATTTGTACATGTCCGTTCACTAGGATTTACAAATCCAATGTGTTATAAATGTGCTCACGAAATATGTCTTCTTTCGGTCTTGATGCGGTGGATAAAGTGACCCAGTGCTTCAAACCTGTCTGTGATGCATAGGATCAATCAATTCCATAAGAGTAAAATTTTGTACGTTTCTTCCGGTTGGTGTCGAATAAGTAAATTAATAAATGGAGAAGAGTGAAAGTGAAACGATCCGCTTCTTAGCAGTTGAACTAAACAAATAGCAACTCATAATCCTATTACTATTGCTACATATTTTATTTTTCTCAGTGAGTGATGTATTTAAGTCTGATCGTTTTTCTCTCATTGGTTTTCACTCCTGACGTCACAAAACGTCGTCTGTGCTCTGATTCAGACACGGAAAGATGGCATCAGACAGGATAGAAGTTCTTAGAGGTTCATCCAGTTGAAATCCGGAACCTGTATTCGGAGAAAAGAACCTGCAGAATTAACATTTATGACTTTTTTCGTATTTACTGTCAAAAGGCAGTGTGCAGATGGTTCTTCTTTGATGAAAATCAACAACAGTTGCGTGCAATTGTATCACAAACGGGATAGAATCCAAGACCTGCCCCTCGTGCATGGGGTCGGGAACATAAGCTGCGGAAACCTGCACCCGAGTATTTTGGTTAACAGTTTTCAGTAGTGTTTCCGAGGATGAGGTTGTATATTACCTTATACCACATGATCACGATTTTGTGCAGCGACACTCCTGATCAGACAAAGAGTATTAAGATAGCTATCAACAATGGAATCTCCTACCATTGATTGTTGTCCGTGATTGTTTCTAAGGCTTTTGATGAACTGTTACAACTGCAGTAGTGACCAAGGTACGCAACAGAGATAGAATAATCCCCAAAAAATAAGGTTTTAATAGAACATATTCATTGAGC